TATAAAATTTTGAAAAAATTGTTCGTCAAGTAATCGGTACTTTCGCGACTACCTTCTTTAACAAAGAGAACCAATTTGATCTTATTTCAATGACATGATTAATTTTTTAGTTCGACATTTATTCACTGAAACCTAACGGTATTACCCTTCGCGTAAAGCTGCATACAAAAATACATTAATTTGGTGAGCTTACATGTTTTACCTTGCACAAGATTCTAAGTTTTTACAAGTATTAGATTCAGTTCCTTTTTGCATACCGATAGGTGTAATCTACAAGTTAGTAAAATTATAAGTTTCCCTCTCTTATCTTCTTATAATAAGGGGTTTTAAAAATCTAATAACCTCTACAAAAGCTCCGTCTCTATAAAATAAATTTCGTACAAAATTATTATTTTTAGACATCATATTAAATACTTTCAATAGCAATTTAAAAACTTTTTGAAAAGACACATGTTAAAATTCAAAAAAAGCAGCCCTGGAGAAAAAGTGAAAAACTACTAGGCCGAACAACTAGTTTGCTGCCTCAACTTAAGGACAATAACTTATGAATGGCATTGTTCAATGCAATTTTGGATATTATAAATTAAACGAAAATAACGATTCCAAACTCTATTTGCAAAACATATGTCCAGATGTAAGATAATTGTCTCTAAACAAACCTTTGATAACTTTGTTTATCATATACTTAGAGTGAATAACCTATAATTTTTACTGTATGATAATAGCATTAAATTTACGTGAATTCTGTTTTTTCCGAAATGGTGCATAGCGGACTGATATGAAAAATTTATCAACTGCCCTGCTTTTATGGCATGCCTTTCCGTAACGTTATAGCATGGCATTCCGCTATTTTCGCGAATTCCGAAAACTACATCTCAATGGTACGTTTTCAGTGAATAATATAACAAAGTAAGGTACAGAACGAATATTAGGAAACAGGAAAACGTTTGTTATGTAAAATGCAAAACAAATGATACAATAAAGGTTCCAACATAATAATTTAGCAAGTTACTTTACAAATGTTGACTTTTCCAAACAGTGTTCATTATGTTTCGATGATTTTTTTATCGTCAATATAAAAATATATTATACTTATAAGTTTCATAACAATTGAAAATTGAATTTCGCTAAATATCAAGTCGAGTTATTTGATTTCAATATAATAATAAACGAGTCTATGGCGAGTTTATTATTACTATTTGAATTAAATTACGAGAGTTGATATAAAACGATATCCAATTTCACGAGTTGTTACCTATTTCTGTTATGGTGAACACTCTCATTGTGTTAAATTAAAAATTCCGCGAATCCTTGATCTAGTTTTTTGCAGATACCAGTATGACTTCATATATCCTGTTCCAGCGTCAAACTTTAACATCAGACATTTTAAAACTTTTTGGAAGAAGATTTTCAGGTGAAAAGTGTGAGTGTTTTGTGTATCATTGAAGAAGTCGCATATTTCCGTTGCCATGGACGAAATGTACATCGTCGTAACCTTTGAAAGACATCAGTGACCTAACGAATAGCTAATGGTTATGTAATATTATCGTCTCATGATGCTGAATAAGCCAATAAAATTAACGCGGTTTTCGTATCACTTTTTCGTATCACACACCGTGTAAAGTGATAAGAGAAATTTCTCTGCGTGCAAGAAATTGACAACAGGCCACAACCATAAGTTAATGTTGTTTTTCTCCTCTGTTGAGGCTTATGATAGAAAGATTTCATATCGGATGTATTACATTTGGCGTCCGTCGTCCGTAAACTTTTCACTTTTTGAACTTCTACTTGAGAACCACTTAAAAGGATCAATATATTAAACTGTTATTTTTCTCTATTGTTGAAGCATATGATAGAAAGATCATAACATGTCATTTTCATATCAGATGATACCCAAGAGCCGAAGCCGATATTGACCGAGGGCTGATAATACATCTGATATGAAAAATGCCATGTAATAATCTGATTATATACTAATAGTTCATTAGCTTACCACAAAAATCATGCAAATGGTGATACAAGCATGAAACTTTGTACAAACATGCCTTTATGTGTATTTAATTATATTAATGTGACAACTGTCCACAAGAGACCAAATGGCGTTGACATAAACATCTATGGCTGTACGTACAAAAGGCTAAAAATGACAACTAACACAATTCAAAACGATTTTGATAGACAGACAAACGACAACTGTTGAATTGTTGAATTGCAGGATCCTGACTTTTGACAGGCATATATAATATGCGTCGGGGTTAAACATGTTTTCTGGCACCAAACCCTCCTCTTACTTGAACATTTGTGTAACGCTTCACAAATTTTGTTTAAGGCCTTGGTGGCCGAGTGATTGAAGATGTCATCTTTAGTAATCACTAGAGAGTCAATACTGAGGTTGTAAGTTCATGCTGATGTGCTCGACTGTAATTATTATTTACTGGGGTTGCCAGATTTGCTGCAGAAGATCGATGGTGCTAACATTATATCTCCTATACACATTTCTAAATCGACATAAAGCAAAGCATTAAAAAAAAGCAAAACGGACCGAAAGCAACGGACAAAAAGCAAAAGTGTCGGACGAAACGCAAAAATTATCGGACAAAAAACAAAATGGACCTAAAGCAACGGACAAAAAGCAAAAGTGTCGGACGAAAAGCAAAATTATCTAACAAAAAACAAAACGGACCGAAAGCAACGGACAAAAAGCAAACGTTTCGGACAAAAAGCAAAATTATCGGGCAAAAAACAAAATTATCGGGCATAAAGCAAAACCGGACAAAAAGCACCGTATCAATCGATATTCGTTGATGTAATGTTTAAGCATATTATAGAGATTGCATCGAATATATAATCAGAAATAAAGTAGATTTCTAGTATGATATACTTCTTTTGTGAATACCATGAGTTCTGGTATTATCCTCGATGATTGGAACTTCGTTACGTATATACCCTAACTAATAACGAAAGAAAAAAATCACAACCTTGGAGCAAATATTATCCACTGTGAATGTAAATATTCTGATACACTAAATTAATGAATAGCTTCATCATCACTTACCGTTATCTTGATGATATTTTTTCGTTAAATAATCAAGAATTTTCTAAATAAACTGCTGAAATTTACCCAAAGGAACTTACTTTAAATAAATCAAATATAAACGGTAATAACTGTCCTTTCCTAGATATAGATATTTCAGTTTTACATGGGAAACTCTACACTAAAATTCACGACAAAAAGGGACGATTTTTCGTTCCCTATTGTTAATTTTCCTTTTTTGGACAGGAATGTTCCTTTGGCACCGTCTTACGGTGTTTATACATCAAAACTCGTTCACATGCCTGTGTCCGTTGTGACGTTTTGGATTTCAACAAACGTAATCTATGTATTACTGGTAAATTATTAAGTCAGGGATTTCGTTACTACAAATTACTTAAAACCTTTACTAAATTCTTCCATAGATATAAAGATTTGGTTTTGTAGTTTGGTTGTACCTGTAGAAAACTTATTTCAAACGGGATAGCACATCCTCACTTTCACGCAGATGTTGTTTACCGAGCCCGGAAATTTAGAAACGATCCGGGTAAACTTATCGATCCTTTAAATAAACTGATTCTAAAAAATTACCAATTCAAAACTGTAATTAGATCCTTGAATATTGTTGTTATTGGTATTAATTTTGATTTTGTTATCAATAAATTAAAATAAAACTAAATATATATATATATATGCAGATTCATGGCTCTACAAACTAAATATTATTTTTATTTAAATATGCATATTCATGGCTCTACAATCTGTCGATACCTGTATCTTGGCATTGCACAATGTCATGTTTTTCTCTGACTGTTTATGACGTTTTTCCACTAAATCCATTGGATGTTGGATGTGTACTGATTGATAATTTAGTCTTAGGTGCATTATTTTTTTATTAGTTTTTATTGGATTTGAACTAGCTGTCAGTAACTGCGAGTACTCTCAAATCTGTACATAGTGTCATTTTTTGTTGTGGGGATGTATAAGTACCCGTCCACGTCCACTCTGTGATTTTGTTAGATATATTTCTATTTGTATCCATCTGATGAGTTAAGCCTTTTTCAACTGATTTTTATAGTTTGTTCTTATGTTTTACTGTTACACCACTGTCACAGGTTAGGATTAGGGTTAGCGCCGCTTTAAACTAATTTAACCCTGCCACATTTCCATGTGCCTGTCCCAAGTCAGGAGCTTGTAATTCAGGGGTTGTCGTTTGTAGCTGTGTTACATATTTGTTTTTCGTTCATTATTTGGACATAAATTAGGCCTTTAGTTTTATCGTTTTAATTGTTTTGCATTTGTCATTTCGGGGTCTTTTATAGCTGACTATGCGGTATTGGCTTTGCTTATAGTTGGAGACCGTACGGTGACCTATAGTTGTTAATTTCTATGTCATTTAGTCTCTAGTGGAGATTTGTCTCATTGGCAATCATACCACATCTTCTTTTTATATGGTCAATCTGTCTTTGTTTCGTATTGTGATCCGATTTTAAAAATTCAGTAAACATCCCTGTAAGTTCGTTAGCTTTGTCTTGGACGGTGGCTTTTACAAATGTGCAACAATATATAGATCTGGCCTATTGTAATATGTATTTGAACATTACAAAATAAATTTGAGATCAAATTACAAATGGATATCTCGAAAAAAAAAGACAACACTTATTCTATTTTTTACACGTGACTTCCAACGGTCAATTAGAAAGTCCAGAATTAAACACTTTAAACACGTTTAAGATAACTATAACGATGTATCAATGTCATTAATGCATCCAAAGTAATAAATAAAGGGTTTGATAGTGTTTATTATTCTTTAATTTTTGAAATTATTAATCTTACAATTTAAAAAAAAAGTTACCTACATCCGAAAATAAAGTTACGGACAGTCTGATTTGTTTTGACCTAAAAGTTAAGGACGTCTTATTCATTTTTCGAAGTTGGCCTTGGCCTAAGTGAACTCAAAATTAACAAATTTATGGTAATTGTAAGTGATTTCTTTATTCAAGAATCCTATGAATATTTGCATAGTGCATGAAAAAAAGAGTAGATTTTGTATCAATTATATATCAACGAGTTTAGAGTCCGCCTTCTTGTTTCCCACAGCCGTTTCAGCACATTTACCGCTTGTACCTTCTTCTTTTTTCCATTTCTCTACGGCCTAGTATTCTGTTAGCTAGTCTATTACCAGTCTTACTGCGTAATAAATATTCCCGCAAGTTCTCCTTCAAATAAGATTTTCCGCTCCTCAGTGCATCAATATTTTTATTGCTGCGGACTACGGTGTTTACTCTACCTTCATTTTTCTTCTTCCTTTCTCCACGGGTTTTTAGTAAACTTCGTGATAGTTCTCCAGGTGGTGGTGGTCCTAGAACAAATAAGTAAAAAAGAATCACCACATATACATGACAGTACAACATACTACATCAATCACCAGCACCCAACCCCTTCGAACAAAACAGTCGTACAAAAAAATAAATATTAATAAGAATTATAAAATATGATATGAGCTGCACAAATTGCGTTTAGTAATTATTGTATTCTTGTACATAAACAAAAGTTATAGATATAATGATGTCAAGAACGATTATCTTTACCTAGGCTGTAACACTCTTTGATGTCAAGAACGATCATCTTAACCTGGGCTGTGAAACTCTTTAATGTATAGAACGATTATCTTTGCCTAGGTTGTAACACTTTTTGGTGTCATGAACAACGGCTTGTCAAAATCTTTAATGTCAATTTGAAGATCGATTTCTGTCCCTAGGCTATCACAATCTTTGAAGTAAAAAGTATCTTTGTCTAGGCTGTCAAAAACTTTGGTGTCAAGAAAAGACATCTTTACATAATAGAATCTTACACTTTTGATGACAAGAACGATTATCTTTGCTTAGGCTGTCAAAATCTTTGGTGTCATGAACGATTATCTTTGCCCAGGCTGTCAAAATCTTTGGTGTCATGAACGATTATCTCTGTCCAGGCTGTCAAAATCTTTGCTGTCAATTCGAAGAACGATTTCTTTCCCTAGGCTATCACAGTCTTTGGTGTCAATACAAATTATCCTTGCCTAGATTATTACACCTTTTTATGTCACGAACGATTATCTTTGCCTTGGCTGTATCCAGTTTTCATGTCAAGAAAAATCATCTTTGCCTAGACTCTACCAAATAATTATGTTTGCCTCGACTCTGATAAACAATTGTCTTTGCCTAAATTCTAAAAATCAATGATCTTTCCATAGTCTGTCACAATCTGTGTTGTTATTTGTAGTAATATCTGAACTTTTGCAAAGGAATACATCATAAACTAACTAGATTTGGAACCAAATGGTCTGAATTTTTGTATGTTATTTTCAAAAATCTTTCTTTTATTTTTTTCAAAAAGGAATGTCTATGATGAATTTAAATAAATTCCGTAGTTTTCAAAACCTCTCTTATGTGTTTTGGGTTTTCTCGATCTTATATTCAAATCATTTTGTTGGCTTTTTGGTATATAAATTATTATAATATTTAGTTGTTTCTTTTATTAAGTTTTTGGTACTCTTTTAGTCTTTGAGATGACATATTCAAAATACTAAATTATATGAACTGAACGCATACATCATTCATTTGTTGTCTTATTCTGGTGTTGAATTGAAGTTGTTATGTTAATCGATTTTAGGTAGTTATCAAGTACATGTAGCAAATATAAAACATTATTGGTGTACGTTGATCACTCTTGTTATTTATGGAACTGTTATTTACCAAGTCATTAACACGTTTGAGGGTTCAGTTTAGGCAACATTTCAATTAAGGCCTAAACTGAAAACGGGTTAATAGTTGAAGTGGTTGAAATATGTAGTCTGAATCCTTAGCATATTTGCGCCTATACTGTAGGCTATAGTAATATGGTCAAACAAGAAGTTTAAAACAATAAATAGTGATCATTTCATTAATAGTTTTTCAAATAATTGTTCTTTCTTTCATGATTATTGATAAATAAATAGTATACCGCTGTTCGAAATTCATAAATCGATTGAGAAAAAAAACAAATCCGGGAAACACATTAAATATAAGAGAAGAACAAGATACCAAAGGGACATTCAAACTCATTAGTCGTATATATACCGACAACGCCATGGCTTGAAAAGAACAGACCAACATACAAACAATAGTACACAAAACATTACATAGAAAACTGAAGACTGAGCAACACGAACCCCACCAAAAACTGGAGTTGATCCCAGGTGCTCCGGAAAGGGAAATAGATGATGCTCCATATGTGGCACCCGTTGTGTTGCTCATGTTAGTACAAACCCGGTAATAAGTCTAATTATGTAGGTCACATTCGGGGAAAAGGGGCCGGGATTGTAATTACGACATTTGGAACATATCCGCTATCATCTGTGAAACGGATATTTCATAACGGTCACCCAACTCGTGATGGCGTCCGTAAAATTTACGAAGGGATGTTTTTAACTTTACCAATTGGAATTCTTTGTTTAATAGCGTCCTTGTGATCAGCCACCTTCTACCAAGGAAATCATGATATGAAATACAAGCCCTGGAATAATTTATCGATTCCAAAACAATGCACAATTATTAGGAAACATCTGTCGTGCATAGCCCAATAACCAAACTGTTACAATGTCCTTAAACAAAGCAGTTACTGTCCATTAAGTCTATAAATGACTCACTATACTTTTTTCGACAACGGAACAACATTTGTGGACATAACACCATGGTAACTTATAAAACACGGTCAACAGATCACATTTACATGTATGACGTTGAAAGACAGCCAAATGAATTCAAAATGTCAACATATTGATGTTGGTCCTGGTTTAACGTTTCCAAAACTGCTAGTCACCCTAAATAGTTTATTCAGAAACAATATATGTATCAACATAAATTATGAAAGAAGTATAACAAAAATACCAAGCTCCAAGGTAAATTCAAATATAGGAAGTTATAATAACTGATAACGTTAAGGCTAGCTAAACCTCCTACTTGTACGACAGTTGTTATCATTCCGTTATATTGACAAAATTAAACAATTGTGTGGAAAAATATTGTGAACATGTATCATTAACATACCCCCAAGCACACAAGATTCAGCATTCGCCTCATCAGAGCAGTCTCCACAGTCATTAGTGTCATCGTATATTTTGTTCGAGGGAACACAATTTGGATAATTTGGAGGAGGAAGTGCACATGCAAATTCATCATTACCACACCCATCTGAAAGAGAAAAAAAGTATATCAAATTTGAATATAAAGAGGTACATGTAAATTTTAAATATCAATGAGTAAATGATAAAAACTCATGAAAAAACAGCGGGCAATATTGCCAATTTTTGGTCTCAAAATTAGATTTTATCGAATGAAATTTAATTATTCAACTGTATGTAAACATAAATACCTAAAACATATGTAATACATTGAAACTATTCAAAGTGACATTAAACAAAACATCATATTCCACTCTTAACAACATATTTCCATCTGAAAATCCTGTCGACGTCGTACGATGTAATTCGCAGTTTGTGTTGCGTTGAGACGCTTATTTCACATCGAAATAAATTTTAAAATCATGTTTATTCTTTTTTATGAGGTAAAATCGAAAATAGACGAAAAACATAGTATGTTATGAATAAATAATGTTATGTTTGAGCTTTTGATTTTGCCATTTTATAAAGGACTTTCTGTTTTGAATTTCCCTTGGAGTTCGGTGTTTTTGTTATTTTACTTTTGATGCACGTAAAATAAATTATAAGAAAAAGAGTATATTCCCGAATGTACTATTTTCAATATCTTAAAAAAAAGAAGGGAATTATCTCATTTCTTTCATTTGTCATAAGAAGCTTTGAAGTGTTTAAGGGAGGTTAGAACTTATAAATCTAAAGAGTCAGGTCTAGAAAGCGATATATACCACAAGGGGAATATCAAACCTACCATCCGGACATCCGATGTCATACATACCGTCACTGCAGTCCGGAAATGAGTCGCATACGTAGCGCGACCTAACACATTTACTATCTGCTGTACACATAAATGCACCACCGTTACATTCTGCAGAATATGAAAAAAAATCAGATTTCATCGAACGAACTATATTTATAACTTAAAAACTTTTTACAAAATACAAATACAGATATAAAAAATTGTAAGAACATATAAAATTGAATACAAAGATTAACAGTTACTTCACTCTTCATTTTGCAGGGATTCAATATAACTTGTATTTCACACTTAACGTTTAATATAGAAATTATCAATTTCGCTCATTTGAGTTTTTGATAATGATTGAAATTATGTGTTGTTAAACCATTGCGTCTTGTATTTTTGAGATTAATATCAATGATTCGCTAACTCATATTTTGAAACGCGACTTAAATGTTTACTTCATTTCTTAGGTACCGAAATTCTATGCAAAATATTTAACCTGCAAATATGAAAATTATGCTGTCTTACATTCTAACATTGACCACAGTACTTATGACTACATTTTACGAACAATACAGTAAATAATCGATCTTAAATTACTATGAGCGTTCATTGGTAGGTATTGTTTAGTCTTGTTGGACAACTGTCAACAGAAGTTCGATGGAAACTCTGTTATTAACTATACCATAATATTTGTGAGAGAGAGAGAGCTGTCCAAAAGTGTTATTGGACAGTTTCCCGTTTTGTCCAATTAGAACCAGTCTATAATTGCAAAGAGGAACAATGCAAACAGACTTTGTACAAATATCACTCCAAACATTTCCTTACCAGAGGATTCCCACTTTTTCAAAATCCGTGATCCTCCCGCACCTGACAACTAAAAGTGTGTGATAGCAAAATCGAATTAATACTATTAAAATGAATTAAGAGTTTTATTACCTATACAGTCCTTTTCATCCTCTCCATTGCAATCATCATATCCATCGCAATGCCAATCACCAGGGATACATTTTTCTTCCTTTGAGCAAAGAAAAGCATCGTCAATACATGCTGTAAATAAAAAGTTACATAAAATCTGATTGGATTTGAAACTATAATGAACAACCAAATACGAAAGTAAGATCACTTTAATTCATGTGAAATGTTCTGTCACTCATTTAATGAATAGAAGACTGTTTTCCATGCTTTTTTGTTCAACAAACAATGTGGCCAATACCAATTAAATACTTTAGAAATTGGGCCGTGGAATAAGCTTTAAAATCGAATATCTTTTTTCAAATACATTTTTGTACATGCCCATATACTTTGCTAACATCTTTGGACTATATATTCAATGTTGACATTAAAGACGCATACAGCAGCGTTTTTGTTTTTCTAGGGTTTTTTTATTTGCTTTTCACATTTCGAGGATTGAATAAACAGCTATGTCGGGAATGTATTACACGACCGTCCAAATCAGTGAAAGTGTATTCTTTATGACAATTTAGCTGGTTATTGAATGACCATAAGTCTGCATAAAAGTTTCTTAAGATTAAAAGCACCCTTGATCCATGGTGTGAGATATACTAATATATAACTAGTCTCAAATCAGTTGTCCTATCCGACAAAGTTTGAAATGCCATTCATTCTTGAACAATGATTATTCATATCATAACGTTTTTTTTTCTGCATCTATGGGCTCCTCGTTGAAAGTAATGTTGACTCAAATAATTTTCTTTGTGACCGCTAAGATGCAAACGAGAAGATTTCGGTGATATTGAATTCTAACATGTTTATATTGTATGTAGTGTCTTTGCTACATAAACTCCATTTTGAGGTGCAAAAGGCGCTATAAAGATGTGATACGGAAAGATTCCGGTGCCAACAAATAAAGTTCTGCAAGTTTGGTATTAGTTTACCTCGAGTGTGTCGGAATATACACTGATTGTGTTTAAAAATACATCGAGTATGTCGGAATATATATTAAGTATATCGGAAAATACTTCGAGTCTGTCGGAAAATACCTCGAGTAGTGTGTCGGAATACTAGTATACACTAAGGGTGTCTGGAAATACCTCGAGTGTGTCGAAATATTTGTGTCACAGATAACCACAAATATTTTCGCTTTGACGTAGGTAGCCACAATCCTGTCTTTCCTCCCTCGTTTATTACACCATTAAATGCAACATAATCGAATTTGTACTTTTGATGAGAACCATGATAGGTGCCACTAGTGAATCATGAACTCCTTTCAGGAGCACCCTTGTTTGTCCTCGGTTTGTGATGAAATTCGTGATATATCTTTTGTGTGTTTTGGACTGTTGTTACTTGTCATGACTCTATTTTCTTCTTTTTTCTTTTATTCATGATGTCTGTGTTTTTCTTATATTGAATTGCTATCTTAGTTTTTTCCTTCATTAATTTGTTTCAAAGACCTTGTGAACGTATGAATTATATCTTTAAACTTGTCGCTCAAACTAAAGATACACTTGTTTGCAAGTAAACAGATTATTTTGTTTTCTTTTGAATCATTCTGTTAAAGAAAAATAATAAAAAGGCCTGAGTAGCACAATGCTTGATTATAATTACGATTTGTTGATACAAATTGTCATTCAGAAACTTAGCGTTCAGTTGTTCAGACGAAAAAGAACCCGAACTAACAAGAAAAGAATAAAGTTTCGTACAATCGCAATCTTCTTCGTCTTTGTTGCTTGGACAATCGCTATGACCATCACACAATTTACCATCTTTCATTCCACAAAGATCATCCGGGCATTTCAGTCTGTTATCTGGACAAATATATTCTGCAATAAAACATAGAAATCACCTTTTAAAAGTCGAAACATAGTGTATAAAGCACTTTATATATATAATGAACATCAGTTGTTCGACCTGCTACTCAAATGCGTTTTGTTAAAATATACTTTTTCACTCATTTGGTCTTTTGGAAAATGTTGTTTGTGCTGTATTTAGACCCCTCTATCAAAAAATTTGTTTTGCATGCACAAGTATAAAAATTGCGGTTTTTATCCAATGCAATCATAGGTTTGAATGTTGTTTTAAATTTAGACTTGTTTGTATTTTTTCGTTTGGGCTTGTATTATATTTGCCTTCGGGTTTATATGATCCGTTCATCTTATTTTGACTCTTTCAAAATTAAAGAGTCTATCCTAAATTGAGGTAAAATATATGGCCTTCCAAATACCGTTTCGATTCCTAACATCACTGAAGAGACATTTATTGTCGAAATCCGGATATGGTGTACAAATTTTTACACCTCATGTTTGCGGTATACCATCTTTTCCGCAATTTTATTGTTTTCTGTTTGGTAATAAAATAATAATGAGATCTATTTTGTAACATCTTGTAATCCGTTTATTTGGTAATCGCCAATGGCAGTCAGCAGGGTTTAAGAACATCAGTTGTTCGACCTGCTAGTCAAATGCGTTTTGTTAAAATATACTTTTTCACTCATTTGGTCTTTTGGAAAATGTTGTTTGTGCTGTATTTAGACCCCTCTATCAAGAAATTTGTTTTGCATGCACACGTATAAAAATTGCGGTTTTTATCCAATGCAATCACAGGTTTGAACGTTGTTTTCAATTTAGGCTTGTATATATATATATATATATATTTAAATTCGTCTTACGTGACAAGGTAACACTACGACTATTGAAGTTATATTTTAATAAAAACGAATATGGTCGAGTGGTCTTGAGCGATGCACATGAGTCTAAGCGATTGGTGCTGTAGTGTATCAAAGGTGTGAGTTCAAATCTCGTTGAGGGACAAAAATTTGTCAGCATGAAAATTTAATTCTAACATTGTTGGGTATAATGTTCAGACTGATTGATATATAAAGGAATGTATCTTTTTCCAACTATATGACGATGGAATTTAATCAAATTTAGTTAGTATTAATAAGATGTGCACAAACTATTATTATTGTTCTTTGTTATTGATTACTAAGGAAACTCTTTCTCAATGTGTGCTGTCAACAGTAATGAAACTTAAATTTTTAGCAATTATATTTACTGCACTCAATTCGCGGTATTAGAATCAAATGTATTCTGGGTAATATCACCAAAACGTTGTGATTGGTTGATAACGCACAAATTAATGGCAATTAAACCAATGATGTAACGTTATTATTATTTTGGGGTACGACCGATTAGATTAATCATAATTCTTTTGTTTCTAAATCGGCGAATTTCTTTGAGTTTTTATAACTTTGTCCGGGGATTTCGTGGATATTGGATATAGCTGAATACGATGACTTGCATTTATTTATTCTATTACATTACAGCAGATTTATTTCAGAATCATATCCCATCTAATCTCTTTTCAGTAGCACTCTTTCACAATCTAATTAAAATATAGAACTCGTATTCGTTATACTACATACGAGATCTAACAACTACCCGTATAAGGTTTCACTTCTGAAGGATTTTGCATGTGACTTTTTCAACCAATCATAATTCTAGTTATCGAATCTAAACAGCGCACGCGGAACATATACTTAAATGAGGTTCATTGAAAGGTCCCGAGGGTATCCAAAAATAAAAACAATGGGACTTAAAATTTATCGCTTCGATTGTTAATCGTTTGGAAATAGTTTTTAAATCTCTTTCGTCGTCATATTGTAACTATAGCCATGAATATTTGAAATATGTGACGTTTGTCATAGTTTTCAGATGTGCCTCATATGCTTTATGACTTGAGGTCGGATCGTAAGCGTGGAAATTAAAGAGTACAGTGAACACTTTTAAACTGTACACTATAGCGGTGCTCCCCTCTGCCAGATGTGGATCAAGGATTTTGATAAGGGTATGCAAACTATGCATAGTTTGAATGGGACATGTAAAAAGTATAAGCATTCATAAACCATACATATATGTGTAGCGCCACAAGCAACCCCTCCCCTCAGCCTCGGCTAGCATACCAGAAAAAAACTGAACTCTATTAGCTGCTCTGGTGAAGTTTTTTTTAGCTCAGTTGGTAGAGTGTACTAGAGAGGTGCCTTACTGTCCTATTTTTGTGAACTGTCAAGGGGGGGGGGCTCTTTTATTTTGTATCTAGTAAGAAAAAAATCTTAGGTAGTAGGCTATATATTTAAATACACGTGTATTTCCTATACAATTTCCATGCTGTATCGGATAAATATATACCAAAAACCAATCCTAGTCTATCATTGACATTATAATTGATATTTTTATTGCTTGTTTGCTAGTCACCTTCCTTCATAAGAATACATCCATTCAAAAATTCATCAATAGAACTAAATTTTTTTCTTATATGTACGTTTCATTAATCTTAAAATCTAGATAAAAAAAGTGGCAAGGTTAAGATCTATACTTTAACAAGAGTGTATAAGCTGAAATGTCTTGCCTGCTTTACATATGATTGAATGTATGTTGAAAGTCTGTTATATGAAGGTTTCACTACAAGCATGATATAAACTTAACATTATTCATGATTATGAGGTCATGGTCAGATGAACCATCACTATTAACTGCTGAGTCTGAATTCAAAAGGACCATATTTTGTGCACAACCAGTAAGGTAGAGCACAGATGTTACTTGTCACGACTAAACATAATCAGGGCAGTACTTAACTGTACTTGACTTTAGTCTAGACTTGACTTTATCAGTCTAAATGAGTAGTCTTGGTCTAGTCTGAATATGGTCTCGACAAATGATCGACTGGTCTGTACTTAATAGTCTCGACCAGTCTTGACTTGGTATGAATCAGCCCATCTATCTGTATATACATATACATAAAATCATCAGACCGGAATAAAATTCGAACTTGATCTGTAACTTTTCATGATAAAACAATACACCAAAAATCAAATCAATATCTCCAAGCACGAAGAAAAAAAGTGTGGAAAACTGATTTGCCGGACTGACGGATGGACAGACAGACAGCCTGACAGATGGACGGAGTGCAAACCTAAAGTCCCCTTCGACTTTGTCGGTAGGGGACTAATAATCAGGTATTTTGTAATATCAATATATGATTTAGATAGCTGTGAATTTACCTCAAACTGAAAATTCTTGCTTTTTTACCTTTTAAATAAATCCTCACATTTATAGCTAGCAATTAACCAGACTTCCAAATAAGCTTGCATTTTGTAAGATCAATATATGATTGAGATAGCTGTAGAATTTTTATTAAAATCCAAGTTAATTTGAAAAAGTTATAGACATTTTTAAAGGTGAATATCTGAATGTAGTCCAAAATGAAAATTCTAGCTTTTTTTACCTTTTAATCAAATTTTTGAATTTGAAAGCAACAAATTAAATTATCAATAACCTGTCATTTTATAAGATCAATATATAATTCACATAGATGGGCTGATTCGGGCTGGGTCAAGACCGTTGAGATTAAATGAAAAGTTCAAAACTGATTCGAGCATTGGTCAAGACTGGTCAAGCATTTGTGGAGACTTGTATATTCAGACATAAATTAGGCCATTAGTTTTCTAGTTTGGAATCTTTTACATTTGTCATTTCGGGGTCTTTTATTGCTATGCTGTATGGACTTTGCTCATTGTTGAAGGCCGTATGGTGACCTATAGTTGTTCATTTCTATGTCATTTGGTCTCTTGTGGAAAGTTGCCTCGATGGCAATCATACCACATCCTCTTATTTTTATATTTACCAAGATTATCAAGTACTCAATCTGACTCAAGTAAGTCTAGACAAAGGTCAACAACATTTAAGTACTGTTGAGTCTTGTCAAGTAAAATCTGTGCTTGGCCTTTCTGGTTTAGTATAAAATATGGTCTTTTCAGACTCTGAGCAGTTTGTAGTGCATGCCAGACAAATATGTTCACCTTACATTCATTACATACACCAAACATAGTGGTCTTATATTTTTGAGTACTTGGAAAAAAGACCAAATAAAAACTTACCATATGCATTAACAAATGAACCATGAAAATGAGGTCACTGTCATATGAATTCTGCCAAACAAACATATTCAATATATACCGGTACCTATCATTTCATATACTTATTCTGATAAACTGATAAAAAAAAAACAAAAAAAATAACACTGACAAATGAACCTGGCATGAGAATGAGGGATAGGTCAAATAAAACTTGCCAGACAAGACATGAACACCTTATAATCATTCCATATGCAGAATATAGTGGCCCTATTGCTTCATTTGTCTGCAAAATAGACCAAAATCATAAATAATAAATGTCATATAATGAATCATGAAAAAGGTCAAGGTCAGAAAAAAATGCCTGTGTCGGACATGTTCACCTTAAAATCATTCCATACACCAAATGTAGAGGCCTAATTGCTAGTCTCCGAGAAATAGACTAAACCGCAACAACTTAAGATTGAACCATGAAAAAGAGGTCAAGGTTCGATGAAAACTCCTAGTCCAACATGCACATGTACATGTATATCTAACAATTATTCCAGACACCAAATATAGTTGACCTATTGCTTATTGAATCTGAGATACAGACTTGACCATAATACATTTGTAAGTGAAAATTTCACATGAGAAAAAAAAAGCATGATTTGTATTCAAGCAGTCACTGAACCATAAAAATTAGGTCAAGGACAATGGACATTCGTTGGGACAGAAATTTAGTGACTACACATAAGGTACACAAAAATGTAGCTGTGTACAAGGTATGAAACATCCAGGTCATCTATCTTTTGAAATATCAAACTTTATTCAAATAGTTTATGCTGCTGCATGATTATGATGATTGTTATCCCTAAGTGCAACAATGGTCTCAGGTGACACAAAAATTATTTCAATCACATTTCATGTGCCTGTACCAAGCATATACCCTGTTGTAGACTTGTAGTTCATGTTGCATGGCATATATTTTTTTTATTTTTTTATTTTTAGAATTATGTATTAAATGCATATGACAGATCTATATAAAATAGATGTGGTACATGTAGTGATGTACATGTACATGAATTATTATCACAGACACAATGAACAAGATATTTCTGCTAAATTTATTCACTACTTTTATAGACACATTAAAGACTAGATCTTGACATATTGCATAGACAATTGCCTTTCCTTCTATTGAAGCCTTATATATACATGTATGTTTCATTCTAGATGTTATTTTATTATTTTTTGCTATTTCAGTTGCTGTCAGTCTACTACAAAGCAGGGTTAATATTCATATCACATTAACATATTCTCGTCCTGAATATGCATATTAATTTGCCACTGGACTGTTAGCAGCTATCCATCATCATCATCATTGACATATATATAAACGTTTCATGTATAATATCTCTTTTTGTTCATATGTAAACTTTGACCTACTGCTTTACATACATTTTGTAGAATCTGAGAAATGGAATCAACCACAATTTGCACAAAAAATTAACCTTAATAACTGATGAATGAAATGAGGTTGGGGTCACATGAACACCGGCTTTTGTTTGACTTTATTTTTACCTAATATATATATACCTTAATGTTTTATTTAGATATCTGTAGACTTATAAGTTGAAAAAAATTGAGAGACAAGTTGAACCCTGTCTGACAACACATGTAAACCTTGGATCCCATACATGTATACCAAATAAAGTTATCTTATTACTTATAATATGCCACAAATTCACTTGATAAAATCACTACACATGTAGTGTTTTAAGGAGTCACTGAACAATGAAAATGAGGATAATGACAATGGACATATGACTTGACAGAAACTTCTAAACATAAGGATTCTTTATACATTTTGATTTTAAGTATGAAAAATCCATGATTTCTACCCTCTGAAATATAAAACGTTATATAAATAGTAAATGTTGTTGTCCGATTAGCATTTTATGTCTTGCATGTTTTGTATTCTGAAACTTTTGTCACAGGTAGGACAAAACTGGAGACCTTGGAGGAATTAAGCTTCCTTATAAGCGTCATGTGATAGTCAGTAAATAAAAGGTACATTTATCTGGAGGAAAATGAACAAGGAAGATACAAAAAGTGCATGTAGTCTTCAGTTCCAGAACTGACATAGTTATCAGAAAAAATATTTTTTAATTATCTGGTTTATTCATTCAAATAAAGACAGAAGAAATCTATCTATTACTAACGGTTCTGAACTGCATTTTATTTAATGAACTTATAGCACTGTCAACATGTACAATGTACCTGACAAGCAACACTCTTTAAGTTCACAAGTACAACAGCTTGATCCATATGTGATCCAAAATGTGCAGATTGCTATTATGGTGGGAGGTTCAACTTCACTTTATACTTCTAACATTACTTTGAATATTAAATCCTATATCACCTTCATTGCTGATGATCATCATGTCATGTACATGTAGAACTTATTTTTAAACTTCTATTGGAAACCAGATTGGTCAAATATGTCTTCATAACGAGTTGAAAATATGGAATGTCTACGACTAGGTTCTGTGGCTACCAAAGTTTTCAAGAATGTCGGTTGGTCTTAAATATATATTGTATGTCACTGTTACATGTATTTATAAATGAAAAAGGCTTTTATATCTTTGCTTTTGTACAGACATCATTGACATTTATATTAGCAAACAATTTGCATTTCCTGGCATATCTATTTGTTTGGTGGCTGAATATTTCCAAATGCATATTTCATGTTTTTCACATCCATTTAATTTTCTGATGAAAATGCTGTTGCTTCCAGTTGATACAGATTCTATAGCTGAGCCTGTGTCTGGCCATTTCTTTATGTCTGGCATGTATGTGAATTATTCACAGTGACTCTCAATTTCATTTCCCCATACGTTCTGTGTCTGATTCCTTTCCATTAAGCTATATAGACCTGGGAAGAATGTCTGCTCCTGAAATATCAATTTTAAATATATTTATGAATATTAACCTCCATTTTAAAGGATCTCATATAATTTTTTTCTTTGATAATTATGACTAGCTTTTCCAGACTAAAAGGTGAAGAAAAAATGTACATGCATGTTTGTTTAGGGTTTCCCTACCTACATGTACATACCCTGTTACTTAATTAATACTAGTGTTTATTCAAACACATTTTAATTGATATGTTCCTCTGGTTAATGACAGAATGTTTTATTGTCCTTAAATAAATGTCACTTATAGAGATAGGTTATCTAAAGTAAATTTATAAATTGACATTGTGAATCCATTTGTAGGACCCACATCTTCTTATCTTTGAACATTTTTTGGGGAAATAAAAACACTGGCCCTTGAGTAATCCTTTTTGGGATTAGTCCTTGAAGTGTGGATTCCCTAATCAAATTTGTACGTATTTATTATCAGAATCAGTACACAAATCTTTAAACTTGTATTTCATTTAATTTCACATTTTTACTTTTTGTTTAGCATCATCATTTCCAGACATTAATTTCATAAGATATCTATTGATTTTGTTTGATGGTTGGTTGTTTTCTGAACAATTTAACATACATGTATGTACTATGATAGAGATAGCCTCATCTGTCTTGTGCTTCTATATATTGATCAAGTATATGTATTGGACATGTTGAAAGTAAAGAGAAAGCCTCAGAGTATTCTATCAGTCAAGAGCATAATTACTTAAAATAGTCTTCAAAATTATTTATACTAGTAATGTTACGAATGAAAACAAAGCAGTTGCGGACCCAGAAATTTTCATAAGGGGGGCCTGTACAGCTATGCTTCAGTGATTCCCTATATAATCAACCAAATTTTTCCCAAAAAAGGGGGCCGGGCCCCCTGGGCTCCCCCTCTAAATCTGCCTCTACAAAGTTACTCGTGTAGTTGAAGCTAAGTAATTGAGCATGAAAGACTACAATAAATGGGGAATGTGTCCATAGGACACAGATGATGCCGATTCTTGCAAATCATATAAAGTTATAAAGAGACATAAGTGAAGAACGGTAAAAGTGATGCTACCCAAATTTGTGCTTGATCTGAGTTTTGTGGTAATACGTATTATGTATAAGTTTCATAACATTTGGTTGAGGCAAACTAAAGTGAGAGAATGGAAACGAAACATTTGTAAAGGAGCATAACTCTGGAACGGTTAAAGTGATGCCAATAAAATTCAAACATAAACTGTGTCTTGTGGTAATAAGCATTGTGTATCAGTTTCATAACATTTGGTTGATGCAAACTAAAGTTAGAGAAAGGAAACCAACTTTGGGATGTACGGACGGACGCACAGACAGATGGACAAGGGTAAAACTTAATGCCCCCTAACTACGTATACTGCGGGGGCATAAAAACGTATTTTCTGTAATTTCAGATATCTGGTTAACATACATGTACATAAACAGGATGGAGTTATTTTTCTCACAAAGCATTAAACTAATATTTAATGAACACTGAAACACAAATTGCCATTCTGACCCACTGTGGCCGAGTCCAAGAATAGTGAACAATTAATTTCTTTCTTGACAGAAAATTTCTCCTAACAATTATCTGGAGCCCCACATGATATCTACATGTATCAGTGTGTGACAGAAGTAAAAAAAGTATGCTGATATTAAAACTTCTTCTGTATGTGCAGGCGTAGGTATACATGTATATCTTTGCAAGTACACAGTAGAATATCATTATGATCTATATACTATATTACTAATGAATTTAGATTTATCTGATCCCATATCTTCATTGACATTGTAAATTATATTTTTTTGGTAGGAAAATGCATTGGAAGACTTGCAATGTATTTTCTGGGATACTGTCATGTTTTTTTAAAGTACACTGTGAATCCCCCACAAAATTTTTTTTATAAACACTTGAGAAGTTGTTCAATGATAGAAAAATGTCAACCTTTAATACTCTATTTTCGAGAATTTACCTTTGAAAGTGGTCTTGATTATCGGTACAGACTTAAGTTTGGAAACTTGGACCGCAGACTACTATTTTACCATCGGTCCTAGTGTCTGTACCGTGTTCCTTCATTTTTCCGATGTTCCTTGCAACAGCGAACAGGTAGCATATATCTGGTGTGTAAACTCTTTTCATAGCCCGTTTGAAGCATGTTGGAAGCCTGACCATGCAATCTTTGATCTCCAAAATAGTTTCCAAAATTTGTCTCTTCTCAAATTTCAATTCTTTCACTTTGTACTAAGGCAAAATTTCAGTGAATGCATTTTCTAAGTTGTTTTTCCATTTTTGCGTCGCCATCTTCAACATATTCCTAGGTCGCGTTCATAAGGAGCATACTGATTGGTCGATATAAATTCTTTCTGGGGTCAAATATTACGTAAAACAAAAGGTCACAAAAGTGAAAGAGATTAGGGTCATTGTTAGATCTCATATGTAGTATAACGAAATCCGAGTTCTATATTTTAATTAGATTGCACTCTTTCATAGAAAAGAATGACAAAATAAAACAGGACAACGATAAATACAAACTAAATAAATAAATAAACAAACAACAAAAATAATGTTTGTCACGAACCGTCACATCCACATTCATCAGTTCCATCCCGACAGTCTGCATTGCCATCACATTTTAACTCCTTTGGGTAACATTGTTCTAATCTGTCGCATTCTAGTTCACCTGTTTCACACGTGTTGACTTCTGTATAATTAATGATAAGGTGTATTTAATATGCAATTCCGTCTATATTTCATAGAAGAGACAGAAAAACAGATCCTTTTTTGTTTGTGTATACTAGTAATTTATTCGCCTCTTGATGATTTAGAGCTTGAAATATTGAAATACAAACGAGAAGACTTCGGCGATATTGAATTCTAACAGGTTCATATTGTATGTAATGTCTTTGCTATATGAACTCTATTTTGAAGTAAAAAAAATTGGCAACTATACGGTATGGTTTTTTTCTCATTGTTGAAGGTCGTACAGTTGCCTATAATTGCTTACATCCAATTTATTTGAACTTTGGTGGATAGTTGTCTCATTGGCAATCATACCTCATCTACTTATTTTCATAACTGGTAAAATATTAAGCCAGGGATAGATACAAAGATTTGGCTTTGAAGTTTGACTGTACCCGTAGAAAACGTATTTCAAACGGGATAGCACTACCTAGTTTTCATGGATATTGTGTTTACCGAGCTCGGAAACCAACGACAACCACTGAACTACAAGCTCCTGACTTGGGTCAGGCGCATAAATAAAGTGGTGGGGTTAAACATGTTTGTGAACGTTCAATCTTACCCCTAACCTGGGATAGTGGTGTAACAGCATAAGAACAAACTATAAAAATCAGTTGAAAAAGGTTTAACTCATCGACCGATACAAAGCAAAAAAACATCAAACATAAACACAGACCGGACATGGCAGGGTATTTATCAATCCCTCATCCCTAACAACAAAAAGGACACTAAGTATAGATCTGAAATACTCGCAGTTACTTACAGCTTGTTCAAAGCCAATAACAACTAAAAAAAAAGCATGTATCTAAGACTAAAATATCAATCAGTACACACCCAACATCCAATAGATTTAGTTTAAAAAAAGACATGACCTTGCGCAATGCCAAAAGAAAGGATCGACAGATGTAGATTACGTTCATTGAAATCCAAAACGTCACCACAGACATGCCCATAGCGAACGAGTTTTGATATATAAACATCGTAAGATGGAGCGAAGGGAACATCACAGTCAAAAATGGAAAATTAACAACAGGGATTGACAAATCTACCCTTTTATATTAAACAGTTTGGAAAATATATAGAAAATCTTTACTTTCATGTAAAACATGTAAAACATGAAACCAATATTAAGCGAGCAAATGTTCATTGGAAACACAACTCGATTTGTACCTTTCAATTATGCTTGGTATCTTTATTTATTTTAATAGATTGATGAGTTTTCCAAAAGAAGACCTCTGAGGTTTAACACAATTTTTACTTATATCGGTATTCTTAGATGTCAGATCGGTACCAAAGAATAAACTCTTCTTTAGAACTTAGTAAGACGGAGGTTTTCTTGTTATGTTTCAAGCATGTAAGTAGGCAAAAAGGTCTCTCCATTAACAACAACGATAGACCTAAGTGATAACAAATCAGTGAACCTTTTGATTCAAGATGTAAACTAGAATATTCATAAACCGGTCCTCAGTTCTTCTTAAGATTTTTTCGGGCACTTTATTTACCTACGAAGAGGAATAACAAAAATTAGAATCCTACCTATTTCGACTGATATCACAACAATAAAATTGGTTATCCTCCAAAATAAATCCCATCTCACATACAGATTTTTTTCTAAGTACTGCCCCGAGCCTCCTTTTGTGTACATCCCCCACCTTCTAATATTTCTATGTTTAATTTATTAGAACATACTTGCTACATGGAGTCCAATCAGAACTATACACATCAAGCTGAACTTTCTCCACATTTTCAATAGACTAAAATTAAAACAAAAATACTGTATATTTATCATCTTTTGGTATTTTATTTTATAATACTTCACTAATAGATAATTTACTTTATCCCGTGGCTCAGCGGGAGATATTTTTTTGAATGTCACTCTCTCGTGTAGACAAATTAAAAATTGATAATTGATAATTGAAAGAACAATGAATTGAATTTTACATCAATAATTTCAAAGACAAGTCTCAAGAAGTACGTATATGCCTCAGAACTGTTTCATAGACCGTAAAACAAAATACGTCCAGCTTTATTGTTGTTAGTTTTCTAATAACTGTAACGTTTTTATGAACATGTAGTCATAGTTAATTATTTTCTATTTAGTGATAAAGCATATTATTATACTTCACGTAAAAATGCAATATTTTGATTGGCTTATACGAGGGTGTTAATTAGCTCTATTACCCTTCACGGAGACGCTTGATCAAGTGTGCGCTTTATTAAATACGACTCTATCCTATGGCAAATACTCTATTACTCTTCACGGAGACGCTTGATCAAGTGTGCGCTTTATTAAATACGACTCTATCCTATGGCAAATACTCTATTACCCTTCACGGAGACGCTTGATCAAGTATGCGCTTTATTAAATACGGATGGTTGTTATATACAAGACGTCATAGTTTATTACTTTGAATTTGAAATTTAATCGACAGTAATAACAGAACATTCAGTTGACAATGTTTTCTCGAGGTAACAATCTGCTCTATCACCCTCTCAGCTATTTGTTATTTATATATTGCTACCTCAGTTGGCTTCGCCTCGGTTGACCCCTTCTTGGGGTAACAATCTGCTCAATCATGTTTTTTTTTCGGTTTAATGATTATTAATATTTTCCTAAATAATTGTTACCAACACATCATCTATTAGAAACTTTTACATGTGTATTTCCAAATATGATCAAAAAGATTAATGCATAATCGGATAAATATGAAAACATTCAAAAAATTCAGGAAAATGATTCAAAACCGAAAGAGAATGTTTCTAAAACATTTATAAATTTTACAAATAAGAAAGATAGCTATTAAGGTAAACGTACATTTTTTAGTACATACAGTTTAAACGTTGGAATTGCAACTTTAAGTATGTCAAAAATAGAGATTTACACACGAATATTCATTGTAGCCCGTGCATGTTTACACGGATCCTTTCGCATAGCTTCTAATATTTCAGTTATGTAATATTAGCAGTAAGGTAAATAAGTTATGATTTAAGACTTTATTATATATACAGGGAAATAAAAAGGTTTCAAACTGAATTTGGCTATACTAAAGACATATATCAACAAGATAACTACTTCTGCTGAAAAAAACACAATGTTCACACCTTATTACATATATTATTGCATGTAGCCATGGACATAATTACAAAGTAACACCATCATTCAAGTACGATGAAAAGATATGCACGGTGGACACTACGTGTTAAATCAAATTCAACTAAAAAAGGTTTTGCATTGCCCTTTCAAGAGTTTGCAAATATTTTCATTTACTTTATATCAGATTTATGCTTTTTTCATTACTAAAACATTTTTACTCAAATAAATTTTCACAAGTATTATAGATAACTTGGTGTTTTCTCAAAAACTTTTTTATCTTATCTTAGTCTCGTTTCTTTTTAATTATTATCATAATTTTATCAAATTTTAATGTACTTAATGGGACATTAATGTTAAAATACCATACATAAGAATATCTAAAAAATATATCTTTACAAGTAAAACTTGAGCGTAAAAGAAAATGCTATACTGACTGTAATGCAAAAGCACTAATAAATCATGTATTAAAATATATAAACAGAATTTACCGTTGGTCTGCAGTAGCTGGCGGTTTGCTTCATTCGAATAATTCAAGTGTATTTATACAGAAATTATTTTCTGTCGATATGATAATTTAAATATATATAATTTATGCTTTAAGAGTAAAATTTAACATAAAAGAACATGCTAACTTAATTTTTGTAATTAAGATAAGAAATCTTTATTTGAAATACGTTGGTACACGATTTACTTAGCAGACAAGACTTTAAAGTTACTTAATGTACCTACTTAATTCAAAAATTTTGATTTTTTTTATATCGTGATAAACTAAATTTCGATTATAAAATTGATGATATTGATGTAAACAAGCTCATAAAAATCAACCAAGCTAGTAATAATCATGCACACACCTTTCCTATTCAATATGTTTCAAGTGCACATTGGTTTCAGGTCTTCACACTGGGGATCCCGATTAAAAATCCGCGGAGGGATCCGAATTCCGAGGAGCGATTAATAAAATGTTTGTAACGGTGGATTCCTACAGAACATAGCTCCTCTGTTGGAATCAAATCCAGATTTTACTTACCAACCGTTACTAACGTTTCATTCTTGGTATACATATGCCAAGAATATTAAACCCAACCCAGACCTTTGAGATGAATAGAGAATATCATATGGCTTTTTCAATATCACAACTGTATCAACCCGAGACACCAATATAATCCAAAGAGCTCTGCTCGAGGGATTATATTGGTTGAGGGTTAATACGGTGTGTGATATTGAAAAAGCCATATCATATACACTTTATTATATACATGTACCTCAAGTACAACTAATCTCTCTTATATGTATTTTTCACGAGACATGACGTTATACATATTAGGGGTTTGATAAAGTATTTGCAAGCGTGACTGATATCGATATCATCACGGATGGCTGATACAGCAGGATTGTCATCAATTGTATTACACATACAATTTACCTGTATTTACTACTAAGTTTATAATAAAGTTAATGATTGAAGGGACTTCAATGAAAAGAACTCTTTAAAGCCCTTGATTAAAAATTGATTTAAAGAAATTTATATGATCAGTTTTGAAAATAGATTAAATAGCTATGATGAAAATAGTAAACTGTTACTTTTAAAAAAAATAAAATTTAGCGTGGACAGAGAATTTTATTTAGCTTCGAATACCTTTTCTATCAGAAAAGGCCTCTCTAAGTTGAAAATGAGTGACCATAATTTGGAAATAGAAAATATCGCTTTTGTAAAATTCATAGAAATGATAGAATATGTTAACTGTGCCACTTGCCGGAGGATGAAAAACACTTCCTCCTTGAATGTAAAATTAACAAAAATTTAAGGAACAATATATTTAAAAATTGTTTACCGTCTCATAATTTTATGTGTCTTACACAAAAACAAAACGTAAAAAAAAGTGCTACACCTTTCAACATGGAACATGTTAAAAAATATTGGTTTCTTTACAAACAGTCATTAGAACTAAGGGCAGAAATCTTATAGTTTTTTTTTCATGTGTTCATTTATTATAGAATTGTTATTTCTTTTCTATATTATGTTTTGTTTTTGTTTTTGTCACAAACTAAAAATATTTATATGACAATAAAAATATTATTATTAATTGCTCCTCGGGATTCGGATCCCTCCGTGGTTTCGGATCGGGATATCCGGTGTGCCTTTGTTTTTGTGCAGTAATGAGATAAAATATGTTACATTCACACCATATACCGTGGCTTTTATCGGATTAGACATATTACGATCACTGGAAAATACGACCGTTGACTTGTCTACAGCAAGGCAATCTGATTAAAACCCTGTCTTCTCTGTCAGTTTGGATGATTGTTAAATCAGATTGTATGCACGCAACATGCGCAAAGCAACATATCCTTGCCACTACGGGCCACCTGATACTACCAAACGTTTTAATGGCAGATTATATTTTATTTCCAAGCTTTTTTTATCGAAACAAAAGATATCATCATGACCTACATAAATATAAAATAAAAGAAAATATGTAAACAAGAATTAATATTTCTCGATTTTTTTTTTCGAGAAAAGCAGTTATCTAGTTACAAAATATGTACGACTGGTGTTGGAGAAGAAGTAAAAATTAAATTCATGTTAAAAGTGAACAACGAAAAGAAAAATTAGGATAGTGAATGCATTACACGTGCAATTTTAGACACAAATGCATTTGGTAAGAAAGATTAATCAAAGTCTTTATAGCTAAACATAATTTTTTAGTGCTAAAAATAAAGATCATTGTGGTTTGATCAATTTATATGTGTTCTGGACATTCTTAAGGTATGTATGGTGTTTCTACTACATCATTTTTTTCAGATATTAGTCAATGTCCTTGAATCCATTTCAAAAGATAATGTATAAGCAATAAGGCCTTGATTGTTGTTTACATGGAGCAAGGCGATGAGTTAAACAGTAGTAGTAAAGTTATACTTTCTTCACCTACTAGTTCAGATCGTAATGGCTCTCTTTCAGGGTTAATTTTACATATATCTCTGTTAAACATTTGTTGTTTTGGAGTTCGTTATTTATAAAACAAAGATAGATATATATATAGATTCTTACATTGGTACCAGTGGATTATCGGATTTATCCAGTCGAGAAAGTTAAAATTGATAATTTAACTATCGAGATTGGATAAATCTGATAATCCACTGGTACTGGTATCAATGTAAGAATCTGTTTCTCTAAACAAATAAATTTTGATAAACGATAATCCCATTCGAGTGCCTTCCACATTCCACAATTCACACAATTTTTCTAACAACAGTTAGCACATTTCGATTCATCCTGTGAGCTGATAAAGGTTATGACCTTAATCTCAGCCAATCATCTTCTGAGATCACCAGCAATCATGCGGCAATTAAATTGTTTTATACAATAGGTCTAGAAAAAATAAGATTGCCAAAGAATAAGAGAAATCTTTTATCGTCGTGTCTATCAAGATATGTAAAGTAAATAATGTCAATATCATAAACAACTTGCAAGATGTATTGAAGAAACAACTTGACATCAACCTCTAATAAAAGTAATTTAAAAGTAAGATCCACTGTCAAAAGACTATTCACAGATGCATTAACCTAGACTGTCATATTCTATACTTTGCACTGGAATTTAAAAAAAAACAGTTTACCTTTACATTGGCCAGACCTGTACGAACAAAACAAATTATAAAATGCACTCACAAAATATTTTTAAAATGAAAAATTATAGATACACATTAATGAACATATTTAATCAGAACTACTGAAAAATAGGAACATAAAGAGATGAATTGTAATCGTTGATAGTCACATCAGACCAAAACCAGGAACGAACCATTCAAATGTCTAATTGTAGTTTTAAAAAAAGAGCACAGAAAACATTCTGAAGCAACAACATTTCTGACAAAGTGACTTCAGCGAGGAGGTTAATTTAGTTTTGTGAATACTCATCCGTCTCATCAACCTCATCGGTGAAAATTGATGAAGATACACCATACAACACAGAAATATCTATCTACGAAAATGACCTATAAAGTAAAAGATAATAACATGTAAAGTAAACGATAATACTCGGTAACTGAAATCAAGTTCAGAGTATTTTAAAGTGCTGATAAAGAAAGATGTGCAGTTCACATTATTCCACCGAGTTTGAAGTGTTTTTCTAAAATTCCTAAAATGATCTTCATCATGAAGATTATACTTTAAAGAATCTTTCAGTGTTTAGAATGGACTTTTTTAAATGGTATTATCTGGACAATCGAAAAAAAAAGATACTTCATTATGGAGGCAATCTTGAACAAATATAGAGAGTGAATTTTCGACATCCTAATTGTTATATAGCATCTATATGATACAAATCAAAATTCACAATCAACACACAAAGTATCATGTTTACGTGAACAAAAACAACATAGCGTAAAAGTACATGTAATCTCCAAGATAGGCTACAGTGACTCAGTTTTCTTTTTGTTATTTTGTAATTTATATATAATTTATCTAGGAGATCTGGCTATATATAATATATCACTTCAAAACATCAGTTAATGTTGGATCTGATTTATTTATATTAAAATTTATTCACTACGACACATGACTTAAATGCACATGATAATTTGATCATCAAAGCGAAACTATTGCAGCGGTAATATCCTCTTTCTTCCTTTCAGAAACATTTAACACTATTTCATTCTTCATTAAATCTTAATAAAAAGGTATTAATTATAATTCAATGTCAAAATTTGGTATACAAAATAGATCCGCTTGTACTCTATGTGAAATGGTATCTTGTGGGAAAACCAGTCAGCTATGAGAGCGAAAATACGTAGTATCGTTTAACCAGCTAAAACGTGACATTTGAATCTATAAATTTAAGAGAGGGCAGTCAAGCAGATTCTATTCATATTGTAAAACAACAAAAATTGTACATATATCTGAAACTTTGCACTTTAATTTATTTCTTACATGCTTGCTAGATATATAACCTTTAAAAAGCAATAGTACATCTAAGCTGTCTGATCTTAACTGCTTACTCTCATATGGCTTGCTATTCTGTGCTTACATGAAATAAACTATTCATAAAGTTTTGAAATCGTTCGAAACATTTAGATTTCTGCCCCAGAAATAGCTAGATGGCCTTGGCCAAATTTAAAACAACCTTTTGGAACTTTTGGTTTTAAATGCTCTTCAATTTCGCAATCAATGTGATCTTTAACTGCTTTGATTTGAGCACCACTGAAGAGCTTTATATAGACAAAACGCACAGATTGCGTACTTAATAACTATATTGGTACCATTGACGAGTTTAACAGATGACCAAGTAGACTGTATGGGAAGACAAGCTATTAGTATCAGTCGGTTTCAGTAGGGATAATTATCTTGGAGCATCCTCTTTTATGCTCCATATGAAATATTTTGTTAATATTAAAATGCTGAAGGCTGTTTGATTAAAAACATCTTCAACAATAATAATTTAATCAAATTTTAAAAGAGGTAAACAGTTATCAAAAAATGAAATAGAAACTGAAGATATTAGATTATTTGATAGATATATGGTAGATAAATTAACCCCTAAACTAAAGTGGTATAGTCGTGACTACCTACAGTCATGACAGTAGTATGCTGAATCAAAAATGTTT